GCCCCTTCCCTTGGTGATTTTTCTCACAGGAATCTGAATTTCCCAGGGTTTCCTAGAGAGGATTCCTCTTCTCAGAGGAGAATTTGGGAGGTTTTCTTTGCTGTTCATGCACAGTCTCTCACCGCTGTGCCAAGTCTTAGGAAAATATGTCGAAATTATAGAAAAGTGTCTATCTCCCAGAATCACAGTGAAAAATATGGACAATATGGGCCAGCCCCACATCACTGAAAACCTTAAAAAAAAGGGGGAAAAAAAAGAGAAAACTTGGAGGATGAAGGGAAAATTGAGAGAGTGAAGAATTTTCTAAATTATGTCTCGGTGTGTGTGATGGATGTGCTGGGGGTGATTCCTCTCTTTATATTATTAAGTGAAGATAAAGAATAATAGCTGTGCATAATGAAAACACCTTTTTTTTTTTTGCTCTTCTGCATGGGTTCGAAGATATAATTCCTGAGCTCTTTGCAGCCCCCTGATGAGCACCTTGCTTCTAATGGCACGGATAATGAGAGATTTATGACTTGTGGCTTGTTGATAGCAGACCAGAACTCATTTGTCCCTTCCGTGGTGGGTCCTGTAATCATCTCTGCAGGCAGCCAGAGCAGCTCTGAGGTGTGCAAGCAGGGACAGATAATTCACTTATCAAAYCTCACATGGAACAGAAGAAAACCCTGACATCTTAAAAAAAAATCTGTCCTGACATCTTTAAAAAAAATATGTTTTTCTCTTTTGTGTACATAATGAATCCTATTGGGGCTGAGGTGATTTCGGGCTGTTTGGCTTGCTCTGATTTGAAAGCCTTCCATCCTTCAAACCCCATCCTTTTGTGCTCAAGTGCTTTCTGTGGTGGCAAAGTGCTGGTTTGGGTTGATTTGGCTTTTCTTCACAGTGAGAAAAGTTTGAAATGAAGAGTTGGCAGCTGCTTTCCCCTCCTTTGAGCCCACATTGCTCTTCAAGCCCTGGGGAAAGGATGTGCAGGGGACTTTTTAAGTTCAGCAAAGATGCTCTGAGGGACTGTCCTTTTGCCATCCTCTCCTGATGAGCACATCCTGTGTGGTTCTCAGGTCAACAAAAGTCAACAACTCCACCTGCACTCATTCAAAACCCTACCAGCTTCTGTGTGCAAGTTACTATTTGGCAACATAGCATAGAAACTGTGTTTTGGAGAGAAAAGATAGAAGCATTCTGGCCTTTAGAATACAACATAAACTGCATTCAGGTGTGCTTCTTCAGCATCCTGGTGAAAATTCCTGCCTGAGCTTACAGTGAGGTTGAGAATGACAAATCCTGCAGAGATTATCAAGGGAACCCCTCCCCTCTGACTTAAATTGAACATCTCTTCAGGAGGAGAATGYCCTTGGAGGACAACAAGAGAAGCTGTGGCTGCCCCTGGATCCCTGGCAGTGCCCAAGGCCAGGCTGGACATTGGGACAGTGGGAGGTGTCCCTGGTACCCTGGCAGGGGTGACACTGGATGGGCTTTAAGGTCCCTTCCAACCCAAACCATCCCACAAGACTTTCTGCAGATGCAGCACTCTCTCCACTAAAAACACCATTTTCTGGTAAATTCCCTATAAATCAATTTAATACCARCAAAGCCACCAGCACAAGGCAGAATTTCCATCATTCACATCTCCACTTTCCATCCCAGCAACGCAAACTTCAGTTTCACTGCTCAGTTTTGTTTTAGCTGGCACCAAGCTCTGCTAAACCAGGAATTTTGTGATCTCCTTTCTTTGTGACACACGAAGAAGAGCAGAAGACACGGGTTTGGTTCTGGTGCTCATTCCAGCTCACTTTTCATCTCTGACAGATCCCAAACGTCCGCATGGATTCTGCGGCTGACTCAGCTCAGATCTGAAGGAGGGAACCGTGATCTCTCCCAGCCCTGGTTGAGAAGGGAGCCTGATGAATTTTTAATGATGGTTCTTCTTCCCCTCYGGGCTTCTGCAGGTGTCTGAATTCAAAAAGCCGTGAGGAAATTTAAACGCTCCTAATGTTTTGAACAGAATTGAGAAGGAATTGCTTCCTCCAGTAAGAATAATGCACAGAAGGGAGAAAAGGCTTGGAAAAAAAAATGTTTAAATGGTGCCAGAGACGTTGTGATAGCAGAATGATTGCTCTGATGCTGACCCTGCAGCCAAGCCATCCGTGTCCTTTAGCTTCCAAGTCCTAAGTGGGCAATTTGAGGATTTTTTGGGGAATTTTTTTGAGTTTTTGGGTGCTGTGGGGCCCCTGCTGCCATGGACATGGGAGGAAGCCCAATTCCCCTCACCACTCTCATAGATGCTGGGCTAAGATCAACAACAATATGAATATTTTTAATGAAGTAGAGATTTTTCCTGTTTTCATACCAGTTTGTGTGTGTGTTCTGCAGTGCTGTTTTATGGGGTTTTGAGGGACGATCTGGAGGGTCCTGGAGGCTCCAGAGGAGCTCAGGGTGAGGTGATGTGGGGGCTCAGAAGGGACAGGGGACGTGGTCAGTGCAGAGCAAGCAGGGCTTGGGGCAGAGCAGGGGAGACCAGAAGTGCTGACACGCATTGGAGATTTGTCAGATGTGAAGAGTAAGTGACTAAAATATGCAACTTTCCTGACAAAAACTGCAGATGAGGCCAGGGCCAGTGGTCTGAAGTTATTCCAGCTCTGCCTGGTGTCACTCTGGGTGTCAATCAAACAATGCTCTGAGTTGGAAAAGCTCTATAAAATCACTGAGTCCAAGTTCTCCCAGCAATGCCAAGGTCACCACAAAACCATGACCCCAAGTGCCACATCCAAGAGATTTTTGGTCACTTCCAGAGGTGGTGACACTGCTGCTTCACTAGGCAGCCTGTTCCAATTCTTGAAAATCATTTTGGTGAAGAAATGTTCCCCTTTGTCTCAACAAACAGGTTCAATGAATGGCAGAAGTTAAAATGTTTTCCAGCTGTAGGGTTCCTATAGAAAAGTGAGAATGCCCTTGCATGGGGTATGGGACAAAAGGCAATGCAAAACTGTGCTGGGATGATTTAGCAAAGAAAAGAAAGATTTTACTTCTCTTCTTCTTCTCACCTCAATCCTTCCTGTCTCTCCTGCTCCAGAAACAGCTACTTTTTAATCTCAGATAAGCAAAAATTATCCAATTCCAAGGGATCTGTGGGAGATTGGAAGGTTCTACCCACAGGTTATTGCTAACCATGGGAGGTTCCTCAGATAAGGATAATTTACCTGTTAAGTGTAGACTTTGACAACTCATTTTTCTTTGACCCTGCAGTGCTCAGTGTTTCTCTGGTGCTGGAAATGCTTGGGAATGAAATCCATGGAAGAGCAGGCCTGTTGGATCTGATTTAGCCTTGGCCAGGCTCTGGATTTCCCTGTGCTCCAGCTGACATTGATGAGTTCATGATCTCCTGTTGTGGTCTCCTGCTTGATCTGAGACAATTGTGGGGTTCTTATTCGCCGTTCTTTCATTCCTGAAATCAGGAAAATATTGGTAACTTAGTGGAAATTGTTGCTTTAATTTCATAGGGTTTTTTTATCAAATTTCTAATAGCGTCTTACTCAACCCAGGAATTTCTTCTTTACCCCTCTCTGCAGGTCATTCCCTATTTAGTCATTTTAAAAAGTAAATAAGACAGCACACGTGGCTGCTCTTCATTGTGAAGGTATCCACAAATAGTTCCCCACAGCCCTGATGCACTGAAAAAAACCTTCCCACGAGGCTTCTCCAGCAGCACAGGAGGATTTTACCCTTTGATTTTGCCCTCCTGGCTGTGCACCACGCCAGGAGTGAGGAGCTGTCTGTGTTTGGTACCAGCAGTGCTGGACCAGGCTCTCTGCCCTTGAACTGAGAATTATTCCATTGTTAAAAACCATGGAGTGAGCCCTCTTCTCTGACAGCTTTCTGGATTCTCTGTTTTTCCCACCCTGTGGTTAATGGGGCTCTGGACTCTGCTGCTCAATGACAAACAAACCTCCTTCATGCCAGCTGTGGAAATGCACTGTGGCGTTGGCATCTTGGAGTTAAAAAGGGTTAAARTTTATTTTAGTGTCTTCTATTAAAACAAAAAGCTCATCAAGCATCCTCCAAGTGTTGTGGTGGCACTGAATATTTCCTGAGGGAKAGACCTGGCACCTTTCCCCTCTTCYCCTTCACCCTGTTGGGGTGGGTATGGTTTAATAAACATTTCCAAAAGTGGAGCTGATTTATATCCTTTATTAATATAATGCAACACATAAACCGAAATCCTGCTTAGCAAAAAAAAAATTTCTCCTGTGGCAGCCTGCCTGGGTGGAAGAAAAACAATACAAAAGGTCTTCCCAGTGGTGTGACATGTTGCTGTAAAACAACAGCCAGGAACGTCGAGAGATTTTGGTCCAAATGGAGAATTTCTGAAAATTAATTTTGKATGCTTAATGCAAACTAGAAAGTAACGTAATTTCTGGCAAAGCAGTTGACAGCAGWCGTAATGCATCAGTGCAATGGCCCAGGACTGTGTTAAATGGAAATTAGCTCCGTGTGAAAAGCTGCAGGGAGAGTGGTGCTCCCAAAAMCAACCCATGGCAAAGGCAGAGGTTGAGGTGCTGCTGGAGCAGTTATCCCTGAGCTGGGAATGCTGTGATGTTGTKGAATCTGTGGTTTGGAGTCACTGCAGGTCTGTAAACACGAGGGTGAATCTGTGGCAGTGAAATGCAGCTCGWGGCTGGGCTCTCTGTGCTCCCTGCTCCGCACAGAGCACAAAAGGGGCACAGATTTGTTGCAGTCTGCATTTCCCTGGTCCCTCCACAGCCGTGCCTGGAGCTATGGAAATCAAAAGCAGAGATGGAGAAGCTTTGGATCCGTGCTGGACACGGCATTGTCCTATCCCCATTCCTCCAGCAGCATCCCAGGGGTGTTTCCAGCCCCTTTTCCATGGAGGGGCAGAAGCAGATCCCCCCATCCCGGGGTGACCAGATCATTTACAGAACTYTCCCCGCTGCCTGCACCCCATTTGWAAGCACATTTCCTGACTCATCWCCCCCACAACAATGACAGAAATGTTCCTTTCTCTGTGTTTGTCCCCAGGGGTGACACAAAAGCGCTGGGATGATCAGAGGACATGCACAGGCCTCCAGCAGGAGAGCGGCGTGGGGGGAAAATCCAGCCCTACCAAGGTAAAATAAATAAATTCTGTTTGCAGAGCCGTCAGCAGAATGCAGGAGGGTTTAAAAAACAATCACCGATTGCTGAGCAGTGTGTTTGGACTTGGTTTTGTTTAGCTGGGCTTAGCTTAGGCAGCAGAAAAGCCAAATAAAATGATGGCTGAGCRTTGTGATTCTGCATGCTCACGGTGAGGGGGGGGGGAAATTACAGGTTTTGTGGGGAAAAGAAGTTGTTAAAAACACCCCACGAGACTAAATCAAGCGGTATCCCAAATATCAGTACACTCTGCCTGACATGTCCTCGAGATAAAGCCTGAGGTTTTCAGCTCACCACAATTACTTTGTGTGTGGTTTTTTTTCACAAACGCAGTGAAGCTTGAAAGCTCCCAAAGAGCCCAGGATCAGCTGGGCAAACCTTACAGATGCATTTCTTCATAAAGGTTGGCAGGAGGAAATGATACATATATTCAAGAAGGAAAAGGAAAGGTAAATGATTTAGTAAATGATTTAGAATACTGGTGCATGAGTTTGTAGCTAATCAGGAGCGTTTCTGACATGCCTTTGGACTCTTGTAGGATGTCTCCATCTGTGCAGCCCTCAACAAGAGAAATAAATGTCAAATTAACTACCGGAGCATGAGGGATGCATCCAAAATAAAGTCTCTYAAGGAACATTCTTCTTTGGTGCCCTGTAGAAATCTGGGGGAAGTTGAGAGTTTTGGAAGGCAGGCAGAGGCCTTAAACCTGTAGGTAGGAGTAAATGAAGTGAAGAAAATATGAGGCAAATGTTGTTACGAAGCATGAAAGAAACAGAGGAGGAAGAAAATGCTTTCCCTGGGGCTGTGAAATTATTGAGTTGTCCAAACCACAGGCAGCCGGTTTGAGGAGTTGATAAAATTGATCTGGCGTTTCACCTTGTTAATAAAGGCTGGATCTGCCTGTGCCCATTTGGGTTCCCATCCCAGGAGGTGCAGAGGACCTGATCCCAGTGGTGTTTTCCTGCATGGAGGGGAACACAGGGATGGTTTAACGGGATCTCAGAATCATGGAAGGGTGGAGTTGGAAGGGTCCTTGAAGGTCATCTCTCTGTGGGTTTTGGGGCAGTGTCACCCACGCCCTGAGAAGGGTGACCCCAGTGCCAGGGAGGTCACAGCCCTGTCACTCTGCAGGAAGAGCAGTGTTTGTGTTTTGTGAGCCCTTGTGCAGTCCTGGCAGGGATGATCAGTCAAGAGACACCCAGACATGAGCAGGGTGAGCTCACAACAGGCAGGAGCCGATGGCACCTRATCCTGGAATGAGCTGGGCTCAGCTTTTCTTGGAAGCAAATCCTCAGGTTCTGCATCCCAATTCAGTGTTGGGTTTGGGTTTTTATTTCTGTTAGCATCAGGTGGTCTGGGAGCTCAGGGAGCAGGAGCAATACAATCAGCCCATCCACAGCAGCRATGAGATTAGTCCAGATGCTTTATTGCATGGGATTCCCGTGCCCATGGGTGGAGAACGATAGCAGGAGGTTTTGAACTCAGGTTTGCTCTTTGTCAGAGAGCTGGAACAGGAAAGCAGCTCCTTCACCACCTCGAGTGGAGCGAGGTGTGGTCTGTCAGGATGGATGTTTCCTGTCATGGATGGAAAAATTAATCTGGGCCATTGTCAGTGTCRGGCCACTGTCAATCAATCTTGGCTGGACATGTTTGATATCATTGGCAGGTGTCATAAAGGAAYCATAAGAAAGAGGGAAGTGATTAATTAAAATAGTACCCAGAGCCCCTGTGGGTAACTGTGTCACTTTTTTGGGAGTTTCTTCATGCCTGTAACYGGTGAGGTTGTAGAGCTGTCCTAACCCTGATATCCACATGTCCTCTGCAGCATGGGATGCTACAGCCCAGGGACCCGTAATATACTCAAATGCATTTTAAATTCCAGCAGATGATTGTGAAAGAGGAGTTTTGAGTCTGAAACTGGCAATTGCCTCTGCCACTTCCATTTTTAAACACCCACCAATCCCATCTGTGGCGATGGGTTAAATACTCAGAATAATACTATGGGATTCAGGTTTTAAATTGTAATATTTTTCTTTCACTGGAGTGATAACGCTTTCATTGAAGCCTCCCAGACAATTCAGAGCTGATTTCAAGAGCGTGCATTTTTAAATGGCAAAAAAAGTTCACATGAATAGACAGTTAACAAGAGATCTTGAACAAAACTGGCTGCTGTGATAGATGGWGGATGAGAAAGAGTTGCACACAGGATAATGGGGTGTGGTGATAACTGGAATCTTTTCCTTTGCAGGAATTTTTGCCTTCACAAAACACAGCATTGATTTCAGCAGTAATCATCGCACAGATTGATGAGGACAAACCCAAAGGAAASCAGCCCTGTCTGCCCATGCAGCCCCTGATCCCCCAGCCCAAGGCTTGTCCCACGGAGCCATCTCCACCTCCCCACGGGCCAGCTTTCATTTCCAGGGCGTTTTTGGTGCTTCCCAGCGGGTTGGAGATCCAGGCATCCTTACAGGACACCATGTCCCCGTCAGACTCTCCCAGTCCAAAGCAGTGTCCAAAGCAGCAGAGAGGCTTTGCCTCCATCACTGTCACAGCCAGGCGTGTTCCTGTGGGCTCTGCAGAGCTGGCACGAGGCTCTGGAGCTGGACAAGAGCCCGGCACAGTGACCCCCAAACCCGGCAAAATCCTGGGGCGCTGGCCTCCCCCAGCCYGCACAAACCAACAACCCTCTCCCTTCAAGCTTTCCAAGTCTTGCTCAAAATCGGGTGAAAAGCCCCAAAAGCAGCTCTTTGACCCTGGAATCACGGAGGACTGTGTGGGCCTTCAACGCAGCGATGGAAGGGAGAAAAAGCCACCTTCATTCATCTCCCGAGCGCATCTCCAGCTGTCCCGGCCATGTCCCAACGCCGTCTATTATCTGATCAAGGCACTCAACGTGTGCATCGACCARCCTCGAGTGAAATGCCAAAAAACGCACAGATCCACGCTGTCCTTGAGGCTGAAGTGCAGTTTGTCGGGATTAACAGCAGATGGAGTAGATGGCATAGCTAATGGAGAGCCTTTGGAGGGGAGAGCTCCGGGAGCAAAGAGGGCTCCGCTCGCATCGCCCCCGAGCGCAAACTGCACGGGAAAGGAGATCATTGACAAACACACAGCAAAGGAACGATATTTGGGTATAAAACACTCTTTGCAAAGTGYCTTTGCCTCGGGGCTTCCAGCGTTTGTGGATATTCCCAGAGGAGCTCCCAAGGCGGTGGCAGCAGAGGAAGAGGATGAGGATGCGCAGCCTGGCGCTGGGTGTTCCATCCAAATTCCTCACTCGGGCAATGGGGCAGGTGAGTCCTTTCCACAAACCTCAGGCTGGAGCAGCCCCACCACGGTGTTTTTGTGAGAGCAGAGAGCAGCAATCCGTGTTTCTGCAGAGGCACAGGGAGTTTGAGCACAGCCCAGAGGTTTCCAGCTGCRGCGCTGCCATGAATATTTGCCATGCCAGTGATGTGTGCTGCTCATCAGCTGAGAGAGCAAAATCCCCCTGTGTTTTCTGCGTTAAACCTCTTTTTCAGCCATTTCTAGCAGGAATTTATTTTTTTTTTCTCCCAGCAACCTGCAAGTGCTTATCCCCTGAAAATAATTAGGTTTTTCTTTGAATAAGGGCTGAATTTCAAGGTGTGAAATTAAGAAGGAGATGACTGCACTGAGCTTGGTTTTGTTCTCCTTGCAATTAAAAATGATCTTGTTTTCAGCTTTTACTTAGAGGGCTACTGTAATAAACCCAGGCTTTTCTATCTACTGGAACCAGGTAAAAGGTTTGCAAATCTTGAATGCATTTGTTTCCAACTTTCCCAAGCATTTTACAAACAGAAAACGCTCYTTGCAGCGTTGCTCCTGGGGAAGGGAGAGGGGCTGTGGGGTTTTTTTTCATGCCAGAAGGGTGCAGCTCCTGCTGCCCTGGGATTTCACATTGGCTTGCCAGGAAGGGAAGGTGGATGGGAAGATTTTCAATGAGTCAGTCTGGTTTTTACCAAAAACACAAAGATTAAAATACACCCCYACTGTATCCTGTGACTTTGGGCCACCTTTAGTTGCAATTTCCCTGTTCTTATACGGTCTTTTTGATCATGAGCAGCTTCCTAAGGTTCCTTTTTCATGGCATGCACCCTAATTCCAAATATCAGAGATCACTCCACAGGGAGGGTTATGAGTTCAAGGCTTCATTCAACACCATCCAAAGTTTCTCTGTGATGAACCAGATTTAAAACTAAGCCTTCCCTGGGCTTGGAGATGCCATGGTGGCATGGGAGAATCAYTTTAGTAAAAGGGATTAGAAAGTGAATCAGGATGCTGCTCGTTGTTCTGTGGAAATTGGTGAGGTAAGAAGCTGATTTGTGATAAAATACAGAATAGAGAAATACAAAGAGACGGACCAGCAAATGAAGCGTTTTGTTGCACACATCTTAATTCCAAACATTGGGGAATATCACTCCACAGGGAGGGTTACGTATTCAAGGCTTTGTCCAACACCTTCCAAGGTTTCTCTGTGATGAACCAGATTTAAAACTGAGCCTTTCCTGGGCTTAGTGACATGGTGGCATGGGAGAACCACTTTTACTAGAAATTATTAGAAAGTGAATCGGGATGCTGCTCATGGTTTTGTGGTTTTGCTAAAAGGAGGGAATATATGAGGTAAGAAGCTGAGAAATCCTGGKTGGTGATAAAGGATTTCCACCATTTGTGTACACAAGTCTATATGTGTAAATAAACATGGGAAGTGTTACCTTTCTAACTGCTTCCCCCCTTTGTGTGGGCAATAATGTAGAATGTAAAGATATACATTTCTCTTGCTCAGACCCTTTGTGATGTGTGAGGAGGTGTTTATCAGCCTACTACAACTTTCCTGTSTGAAATTTGTATAAACAATCAGAATAATGCTCCAAAACAAGAGCCTTTCTCAGCAGGATCACCCCAGTAATGAGCTCTAGCACAGCCATCAACCATTAAATGTGACAAATGATGAGAAACGTGGAAAAACGCATGGAACAGCCACTCTGTTCCTTGAAATGAGAAGGAATGGTGGGATTTTAACCTGGGAGAGATGGAGAAGTGAGTCCCCTTCAGTTCTGGAATGGGTGARGTGAGGAGCAGAAGTTATGGGTATGAGATTATCAATCACAGAATTGTTTAGGGTGGGAAAGACCTTTAAGATCATCCAGTCCAACCATTCCCCCAGCACTGCCAAGGCCACCACTGCCCCATGTCCCCAAGTGCCACACCCACACAGTTTTTAAATCCCTCCACACCTGGACAGCCCTTCTAGAGGGGAACTTTGATGCCATTCTAGATTCCCAATTATTTTGGATGTTTTTTCCCCTACTGTTTACTAACTCAAATCCRTTCCCATTAAGTTTCACTCTGCTCCATGTTTATGCAATGAAATGTTTGTGAAATGAAGTGTTGAAAAGGAAGGAAGGACCAGCAAGGAAGGGACAGTGAGCAAGTTTTGACACAGTGTTCGTGCTCTAACACAGTTATCTTGTGGGTGAGGGGACTGCAAAAAGCGCTTTGTCCATTACATTTCTGATGACCCAGAAAGTCAGAGTTTATATTGGTTTGCAGCTGTAGGCAACAGCTTCCTGCCAGCAGAAATACAAGTGGTAATAACATCACTATGCTGAAGGAAAAAAAAAGAAAAATTACTTTCAAGGCTGCAGTTCCCCATATGAAATCCGTGAGTGTGGTTTCCAGGATGTAGAGGTTGCTTTGTTAGGATCTGAGTTGGAATGAGCAGAAAATATTTTTTTTCTGCTTTACAGGTGCTGGGGCCAGATTTGCTGTTTCCTACAGGGCCAGTTGAGCCTTGGCCTCTTTGGAGTGTCTTTTTCCTAATCTTCAGTGTGACTTCACTGAAGTAATGATGACTCCACTCACTGTATTACTCACATTATTTCATGTCCAAATCCAGCTATTCGAGACTTGGCTTTACATGGGCTGGGATAACTCAATCTAAGGCCCTTCTTTCAGCAGCAGGCTGGACCAGGTAATCTCCAGAGTTATGTATTTCCACCATGTGAAAAGGATACTTTAGAATTGTCAATGAAATGTAAATCTTGAGCTCTGCTCACGGATGGGAATTACAGGTGGAAATCCAAATCTCTGGGACTCGGAGTTCAAAGCCACGGTTCATGCTGTAGCATCCCAAGGATGGAATATGATATTTCCCCACTGTGGACCGTGTCTTCTACTGGTTCACTGCTTTGGCCCTTTCCTTCCATGATCTGGTAAGAAATTGGATTGTGAGCGCTGGAAAATCCATGTTATCCATGAAGTGAGCCCTGAACTGTGGGAGGACAGAGCCGTGGGACAGAATTGTGTTTATTTTTAGTGAGCRGCCAACATTTCCATCCCTTGGGCTGCTGGAGGAACGTGTGAAATGTCCCACTGGGGAGATATGGCCAARGGCCAGCCCAGGCCATGCTCCACGAGGTCCCTGTCACGGGTGATGGATGTGTGTCACCCCCGCCTTTGGTCACGGCTTTTAACAAGCTGTCAGAACTTGCTAACGCTGCTTTTCAGGGAATGCTGCAATTTCCTTTCCTGTCTGCAGCTGATGCCTCATAAATACAAGGTGAGTTGGAAATGAAAGGATTAGTCTTGTTTCTGCTGAAGACAGGAACATTTTTAATCTTAATTTCTCACCTCCCTTTCATGGAGAATATATTTCCCCATGAATATCTGGTTCTCCATCCATCTTTCACTATCTATTACCTACCGGGCTCTAGGCTGAATTATTAAAAAGGAGCAAAGAGAAGAAAATGGGACAATTTTAAGTCCTTTTTGACCTCTTGATTAAACAATATCATCACTTTTCTAGGGAAGATTATAAATGCCAATATCTAAATTCGTCTGTTTAAGCTTAGATAACCATAACCTTCTTGATGCCTGAGCACCTTCACACAACTCAGCTATTTTTGAAACCAAAGTAGTTCCTGCTAACATCTACACTTTTGTTCTTTTTTGTTGTCATATCCCAAACTGCTGAGCAGAGATATTAAGGGAGAACAAGTGAGGAGGAGCGTGAGCCCAGTTTGGGTGGTGGGCGCTGTGCTGGCTCCCAGTGCCCCAGGTGAGGTGAAAATGGGCAAGGATGGTGGGGGAGAGGACAAAAGGGCAAAAGTCCCACTCCCTGGTGTGACCACCCACAAGTAGGGGCATCAGGACCATGAGATGATCATCAGCCGTGGTGTGGCCACAGGAGCAGGGCAGGGATTGTCCCTGTGCTGGACACGGCTGAAGGACCTCAGATCCTGGGGTCAGTCTTGGACAAGATAGACCTGGAGGGGCTGGAGCGTGTCCAGGGCAGGGAACGGAGCTGGGAAGGGTCTGGAGCCCCAGGAGAGGCTGAGGAAGCTGGGAAAGGGGCACAGCCTGGAGCAAAGGAGGCTCTGGGGGGACCTTGTGGCTCTGCACAACTCCCTGACAGGAGGGGACAGCCGGGGGGGTCGGGCTCTGCTCCAGGGAACAGGGACAGGAGGAGAGGGAACGGCCTCAGGCTGGGACAGGGCAGGTTTAGGTTGGATTTTTGGGAACTATTTCTCCATGGAAAGGGTTCTCCAGCCCTGTCCCAGCTGCCCAGGGCAGRGGTGCAGTCCCCATCCCTGCAGGGATTTCACAGTCCTGTGCATGTGGCATTTGGGGACACGGGGCAGTGCTGGCCTGGGCAGTGCTGGGATGGCTGAACCCACAGAATTTAAAGGATTTTCCCCACCCCATTGATCCCGTGGTTCTGTGCAGGAGGCAGCAGTGGCAGGTGGATGAGGCACAGTGGGGTGGCCGTGGTGGAGATGCTGAGGGCTCTGGGGGCTGCCCCAGTGGCTCAGGGGGGCACTMCCAGAGTTCCCTTTCCAGAATTCTGGGGTGAAACTCTCAGCAGGGGAAGGACACATTTACAGCAGAGAACAAGAGCCATCAGAGGCTGGGTAATGCAGCTGCTGGTACCTTTTCCCCAAGAGCRTGGCAGGTGATGTGAAAGCATAATTTGCTTAATTAAAACAACCCAAGGCAGCGAGTGGGGAAAACTGAGATGGGATCTGGGCTTTGGGGGCGTTGAGTGGCCCCAGATGACTACAGGCTTCTGTTCCCTTCCTCAACTTGTTGATTAAYAAGTGCTGAAGTCAGCAGCACATTTTTAAAGGGTAARTAACTAGGCTTYAGTTTCAAGATCTAYTTTAATTTTTTTATGCATGTATGTRTATTCCTACTCATACAGGAATAAAATCAGAGCAGCTGGTGCTGTGGAGCTTAGATAAGATGCTACCTGCAAAGCAAAAATGTATTTTTG